AGTACCGATGCCAAAGTACCCGTTGCTTTGGCACTTATGAAATTATCATTATTATTTAGTATGAAATATCTTCAAGAGGTAACTGATGAAATGAAAATTTTGGTTTATTTTTTTCAAATCAAGTTTTTAATAAATTTATTTATTTATTATTATAGAGCCGATGGCACGAGTGGTTATTATTATTCAATTTAGACCAAACATTAGGACCGAATTGGGATATATATCTCATAACAACACTGGTTGGAATATTAGGACTCATTATTTATTTCAGACGTCCTCAACCACATTGAATCAATGTAAAGACTGCTGCTATACAAAAAATAAAAAAAAAAGTTAGTGTAAATCAATTAAATATATATATATATATATATATATATATATATATATATATATATATATATATATATATATATATATCCATGATTTTTAATTTTTTTTTTCCCTCAATCTTAAATACTAAAATTATTTTTTTTTTTAGTTGTTTCGAATCGACCGACTAGTGACTGTCTGTTCCTACCGATTTACAACAACATTTTGACGTTAATCGATCCTGTCATAACCAAAATGAAAAGAAAAAACAAAACAACAAAAAAAAAAAAAATGGAAAAAGACACACAATAATAAAATTAAAAATATTAAAAGGTGTATAAAAGAAGAAAAAAAGAAAAAAAAACAAAATATTTTTAATGCTGGAAGTCAAAAATATTTTAATAACTTTTTTTTTTTTTTTTTTTTTTTTTAAATGTTTCATATTGTTGTTATATTTAATTTTTATACATTTCTCCCTTCCCCCCCACCTCACCCTACCCCCTATTAGAAAATACCGAGAAGTAACATATATATATATATATACTAAAACGGGAATTTATTAATAAATATTTTAAATGGTGTACCCATCGAGTATATAATACAGTTTTTCAATAAATAACGGTTTAATTTTATTATTATTATTATTATTATTATTATTATTATTATTATTATTATTATTATTATTATTTATATAAATAAACATTTAAAAAAAAAGAAAAAAAATTAATAATATAAATATAACACTTACCTTATCCTGGAAATATGAAATTGTTGAAGATATCTTCTGCTTTTCTTCTGGAAAAAAATTTCATAATAAAATTACAAATGATATGTAAATAAATTGTATAACATTATATAAAATAAATAAATATTTTTTGAAATTTTATTGGAAGTGTTTAAACAATTATTATATAATAATAACGATAAAAAGAAAATTTCATAGAGTAAACAAACAATTTTTATTTATAATTAATTATTCTCCTTCTCAATGTAAGTAAATGTTGCATGTAAGCTCTTGGACTTGGGGTTACATTATGTAATTTAACTATCGAACAAGGACAATGTCCATAATAATTTAATCTGCAAAAACCATTTAAACAAACGGTATTTAATGATGGAGTAGAACAATATAATTCCTCATCTTTTTTTCTACAAAATATACAAAATTGATAACAATGATTACTACCCGGTCCAAAAGTATTGAGTTCAAATGTCGAATTAAATTCTTTTGGCCATAAACAAGAACAAGAGATTTTATTAAATTTTTCACATTTGCATTTTTTAACACAATCGTTAATTTGAAATCTTTTTACCCGGGGGAACTCTTCATTAATTCCAAACGATAATTTTTCTTTTTCCCCCCTTTCTTGTAAATTATTTGAATATTTTCTTAAAGATTTCATTTCTGCTATCATATCGTTAACGGTTTTTAAACGAATTTTATCTTGTTGGGCAGATAATTTTATTAAATAATAAGATTCTTGTAATTTATTATCCAAATCGAATCCCGGACAATCGGGATTATTTAATAATTTATCCGGGAAACGACGTAAAAATTTTTTCGAATTAAATAAACCAATTTTATTTTTTATTATTTTTTCATCATCGTGAAAAGGATTCGATCGTTGTTTAAATAAACGTTCTCGTCTTAATAATTTTATTTCGTTAATAAATTTATTATTTGTTTGATTAAAAAATCCCACGGGATTTAATTTACGTCTCGGCCAAATCATGTTTTTATTATTATTATTATATCGTATATGACGATTTATATTTAGATTTTCAATTAAATCCCCCCCGGAAATATTATTTTTTTCTCCTCCCTTTTTATTATTATTATTATTATTATGTTTTTCCGATGTTAATTTTAATGATTTTCCTCTTTGTTGATCCTGTTCTTCATCGTCGTCCGAAAGCAGAAGAAGGACATCATCATCATCCGGATTCGTAAAAGAATTATTTAATTTTAGAATGTTATCGTTCGAACGTTCGTTAAAACCGTTAAAAAAATTCAAAAATTCGTTATTGTCTACGTCATCATCATAGTTTTTAAATTCGTTATTATCTACGTCATCATCATCAAAGTTTTTAAATTCTTTTTTTGAAAATCGAACGCGTCTCAACTTTTGAAAATTATCATTTGTTTGAGTATAATTTTCTTTAACAGAATTATTTCCTCTATTTAAATAATTATCATTATTTGATTTATTATTATTATTATTATAAAAATGGCCGACATCTATTTCGTCATCATTTTCCGTGTTTGTCGATACGGAATATCTAAGAAAAGTTTTTCCATCGTCGTTATTAGTTGATTTGACAGAATCGAAATTACATTGACAACCATTTTCTTTATAATTTATTAAATTATCAAAATGATTATTCGTTAAATTTTCATTTAAATTATTAAAACTAAAAACTTTTCTCAGATTAAATTCTTGCGATTTATTCGTTATTTTTGACAATGCATTTAATGCCGTATCAACGGAAATTGATTTTGTTAAATTCGTATCGCATTGAATTCCTTTATTTTTATAATTTATATTTTTTTTATTATTAAATAAATAAATATTATTGAGATTATGTTTGATTGCTTCCATTAAAACGGTCGTTTTATGGGGATTATGGGGCCCCATTAAAACTAACGTTATGCTATCCTCAGATTTAAATATGGTTTCCGTGCTTTCATTTTTTTTTATTTTTTCCTCGAATGAATTTTCTATTAGGGGAGACGTTTGTCGTTTGTTAGAATCGAATATATTAACTTTTAAATATTTTTTTCCCATATTTGGATTTATGTTCAGCCATTTTATTTTATTTTCTTTTAATGTTTCATTTAAATTTGAATCATTTGGACATTGTTCAACGTTCAAATAATGATCATCATTTTCTTTTATAGAATAAAGATGGTGAAAATTTTTTAACGATTTTAACGATTTATTATCATTTTTATCACTCTTTTTAACAAATGAGTTTGAATTTTTTTCATTCGATATGGAAAATAAAGTTTGAAATTGATTTTCTTTTTTAAAAGGTTTATTATTATAATTTTTCCCCGATGGTAATAAATATTTACCGTTACGCGCGCCATCTTTAAAAATGAAAAAAGAATTTTCTCCAGGTTTCCGATTTGAATTTCCGGTTAATGATAAATTATTATTATTTGTATGAGATGTATCATATTCGAATAATTTATTTATTAATTCTTTTCCAACGACTTTTTTATTTAAACTATCATCTGAAAAAAATTCTTCTTCGGAATCTAAAAACTCAACAGGTGATTTTTCTGGTGTCAAATAATTTTCTTCTGCTTGTGTCGTTTGTGTAAAATTATCAGAAAATTCTCGAATCTTATTATTAATTTCCATTTCTTTTTTCGTTTCATCATCTTTATTCATTTCAATTTCTTTACTACTATTACTACTTTCAGATGATTTTGATGACTCTGACGTCATGGATTCAAAATTTTCCTTTTTTTTAACATCGTAAAGTCGAGCAGTTACAGATTCGACAATCAAACGATTTTTTTTCTTAATTAACGGTTTTTTTTTTTTCTCATCGTCATTTTCGATATTTTTCAAATGAATTTTTTTATTTTCAACGGTAGGAACGAGAATTTGTTTACCATTTTTCACAGTTTCCGTTAAATTTTCTTTACTTCCGGTTTTTAAAAATGATGTATTCGTACAATTTTTACCACGATAAGAAGACAATTTTTCTTTATTTAATTTTGTCGTCGTATTTTTTTTCCCATTTAAATTATTTTCATTTTGCATATTTAATAATTTTTTCAATGTTTTTGATTTTCTTTTTAAAAACAATTTGATTTTTCTTTTATTTCCGTTAAATTTTGATAATTTACTACCATTTTTATCATTTTTTAATGGAGGTTCGTTGAAAATATTATCATCGTGAGAATTATTATTTGATTGATAAATCATGACCACCTGATATATTTATGTGATTGATTTTGCACGCATTGTTTTTTTTAGATATTAATTTTCCTTCTTTTTTCAATATTTTATTAGAATAATCAAAAATTTTTGACGGTTCTTCATTTATTGTAGGAAAAAACTTTGGAATTTCCTTTCTCTCGTCGTCATCACTGAAATTATCAACAACGAGCCTGAAAAAAAAAAAAGAAAAATTTTTTTAAAATTAATTATTTGAATCGTAACAAACAATAAAAAATTATTGGAAACTTTTTAACTTACCTTTCCCCGTGATAAAACGTTATTAATTAATAAAAAATAAATAAATAAATAAATAAATAATACCTTTCAGATTTGTTTTCGGTGATCCATTTTAAATTTTCCTCGTTAAAATCATTGTTTTTATTGACCTAAAAAAATAAATAAATAAATTAACACAATAAAAAAATTATTTTTTTAATTAATTTCATTTAAATTTATTAATGAATTTAAAAAAAAAAAAAAAATCAATTTAAAATTTTTATTAATAATTAACAAATATATAAATGTTGACCTATTTTTATTTATATTAAATAAATAAATAAATAAATAGATTCGAAACCACTTTAAAAGTCCGATTATAACTGATTATGTATAAATAAAAAGAAAAAAGAAAATTCGGAAAATCACTTCATAAATTGACACATGCGTGTTAAAACATTTAAATGATGCTTCATTCAATATATTTATCGATAAGTGTTTTTTTAAATGTTTTTTCGCATGTTGCCAAAAATAATAATAATAATAATAATAAAGATAATAATAATAATTTTAATTGTTATTTGAAATGAAATAATAAGTTAGAGACGATGCAAATTGAATATTTAATATTAATTATAAACAAAAATAATTATTATTACATTAATTTTGTAATTTTTTTTTTTTTTTTTTTTTTTTTACCATAACTGATAAAAGTGATTTCAATTTCGAAATTTCTTTTCTCAATTCTCTAATAATTTTCGTTTTAGGATCTTCATTAACAACAGGCTGATTCATTATTCTTCTCGTTCTTTTTGCGTACCTTAATGTATTAATTGTTTCATTTAAACAACTGCTAGCGGGAGAAACAGCTAAATAAAAAAATACAAATTATTTAAATTTACGTTTTGATTTTTTGTACATTAAAAAATTTAATAATGATCAAGTCTTAAAATTTTGCAAATGAAATAAATAACTAACATTATTATCTTACTCGCTATCATTATAGTCTTTGAATTTCCTCCCAAAGTATCCTTTAATAGCCACGTTAATATTGATTCTCTATAGGGTACAAAAGGTTGCCACGATTTTAAAATGGAATAATCCTTTGAATTTTCTCCGATTTTGTAATTTTCAGCTTGAAAAAAAAATTGATACATTTAAAAGTTTTGACATTTTAAATTTTATAAATAATTATGTAAAATTACCCAAAGAGGAAATAACATTTCCAAGGGCTACCAATGATTTGTTTATATTTGCTCCTTCTTTTAATCTCGTTTTGTTTTGTACTTTACTTGCTCTTTCACTAAAAGTAAATTTTTAACAGAAAATTTTTTAAAAAAAATTTATTTATAAATTATACAAATAATATTTTTTTAAAAATTTAATTTGATTTCACCTTCCGGCTAAATCAACCAAATGAACTTTACTACATTTTTCAATTTCAAATTTTTTATCATTTTCTTTAAAAATTAATGTAAAAACCGAATGACTTCGACTTGAATAAGTATTATTTTCCGTTGTCGCCGTACTCCTCCTCTTATTTCCAATTTTTAATAATTCCAATACTTCGCTTTTACACGTGACGCCATGTTGTGATAAATCTGCAAAAAAAAAAAATAATTTTTTTTAAAATTTTTATTTACTTATCGTAATGAAAAAAAAAAAAGTATTATACTTACTTTGTACGTAAGGACCGAGTTTAGGATGTTCACGAACTCTTAGAGAAAAATTACTCAAATTATGTTCACTTCTATCATCATCAAATACTAGTAAATCTCGTACTTTTTCATTGTAAATTTCAAAAAAACTGGAAAAAATTAATCAAATCTCGTTAACGTGAAAAAAAAAAAATGTTTTTTACAAAATTTTATTTTTTGTAAGAATTTCCGAAACTAATTAAATATTTATTGAATTTTTTTTTTAAACTTTATATTAACCTAACAGTAACATGAAATTGACATTTTGTTTTCTCATCTTTTTTGTCAAATAATCCTTGACACAAACGAGGAATCAAACCTGGATCCTCTAATGTTCCCATCATTGTGTATGTTTTACCTGAAGCGCTGTGTCCGTATGCTAAAACACATGAGTTGTATCCTCCTAAAAGAGAATCAAGGACTTCTGATCCGATTTCATTATATACCTGAAACAAAAAAAAAAAATTAATTAAATAAGCATTACTTAGGGAACTCATTATTAAAGTGCAAAATTAATATAAAAATAAATTATTACGGCTTCTTGATTTGAAGTTTGTGGATCTTTTGAATCGTAACAAAAATCAACGACGAATTTATTAGTTCTTTTTTTAGTTTTTCCTTCTTGTTTTTCAAATATCTAAAAAAAAAAAAAAAAAAAATATAAAAAAAAAAAAATTAGAAATTTGTTACAGTCATTTTTTAAAAAAAATTTTATTTGGAATAATAATTACCTTCGGATTTGTAACAAGAACTGATTTTCCCTCCTTTTGTACTACGATTTCATCGTTTTCTAATATTTCTCTGAAAGTAATAATTTTTATTTGCGCTCGATATAATTAAAAAATTTTTGTGACAATACATAAACGTTAAAAATTTAAATTTTATTTTACAATGTATTTGTTTTAACGTTGTGAAACTTATAAACATTTTAAAACGGGGTAAAAAAAACTTTGATGGTTAAAAATAGAATCAACTTCCTTTCAAAAAAAAAAAAAAAAAAAAAATTATAACTATAATTAGCTTGACGCTTGAATTTAATAATGCATTACTTGACTCAATTCAAATATGAAAAATTTACTTTTAAAATTTTTTAATAAAAAAAAAATTAATTTTTAGATTAATTATAATATGTTTTTAAAAAGTTGGATTGTATGATTTATAATTTTGACGACTTTTCAAATACAATTTGATTTTAAATAATTATATAATTAAATTTAAAATTATTCAAGTTCGGATCGTCTTTAAAATTAAACTTGATTAATTTATAATTTTTATGAAAATTTTAAAAGCTCACCTTTTTGAAAATGGTCTTATTCTTACTGCTACCCTTATGTTAATCATGATTTATATTGATAAAATTAAAATTAACATTACATGAGAAAAAAAAAATTTTTTTTTTTTTTTACAAATTTTTAATTTCACTTTATATAAAACATTTGTTCGACACATTCGAAAACTTCAAATTTTTAAAACATTTTAAAAGTTCTGCCTCTCGTGGTCATTAGTTGAACTAATTATTGTCGCACAATTACAACTTGCGACAAAAATTTTTTTTTTTTAATGAAAAATAACTTTTTAAATTTCGTTTACCTTAAGTTGGCAAATTCTTTTTACGAATGTTGAATTAACATATTTCATTTTTATCATTGAATTTAAATTTGATATTTTTTTTTGAGTTTTTTAATTAATTTTTAGTTTGATTGCTATCTAAAAAAAAAAAAAATAAAACAATGCCTGGATTATGTTTACTGGGCAGGATAACTTCATCTGCATTAAAATGTAAATATAATATTTTATAATTTATACATTTAAAATGATTAAGTTCTCTTTTAGACAAAAAATTTTTTCATTTTTTTTTTTTTTTATAGCTCATGTTTTAAAAAATCAGTTTTCAAATGTGAAAGTTTTGGCTTTTGCTAATTTGCATCATTTTACAACCACCAGTCAAAATTCATTAATTAAATACAAGGCTTCAAATGTTTCTTCAAAGCCATCAATTTTGACCTTACCTGTATTTAAAAATATATCAACATCATCACCGAAATTAGCTGGTCATAGTAAACATGATCACAGTAAGCTATGGAGTCTTGAGAGGTTGATGTCACTTGTTTTACTACCACTTGTTCCTGCAGCTCTAGTTTATCCCTGTCAAGCATTAGACACTGCTTTAGCTGTACTTATTGTAATGCACACTCATTTGTAAGTATTGAATTTATTATTAATTTTTCATTTGAAATTGTTACCTGTATAAATAAACTGTATTTTTTTTACAGTGGTTTGGAAGCCATTGTGGTGGACTATGTTCGACCGATACTTTTTGGTAATTTGATACCCAAAATAAGTCATGGATTATTGTATTTATTTTCAATAGTCACTCTTGCAGGATTATTAAATCTCATATTTAATGATTGTGGATTGTCTAATGCTATTTTAACTGTATGGAAAAAATAAAGTGGTGTAATTTATTTTTTAGTATAGTTGTCTTTCATGAGCTTATGCAAGTATTACATTAAAATATTTAATATCAATATTTCAAATACAGATAACTAGTAATAAAATCAATGATTGAAAAACATGATTAGCAGTTAATGTAAAAAAAAAAAATCATTTATGTTCAAGTTGTTTAATTTTTAAAAAAAAAAAAAATCATTATGTATTATTAATCATTTTGTATTATTAAAATTAATATTTGCATTAAAAAAATGTAAATACAATACTGGATATTTGTGAAAAATAAATTTGTACATAATAAACAAATTAATTATATAGATAAAATTTATTTATTTTTTTTAAATTAAGAATCGAATTTCCATCTTTGTTATTAATAATAAAGATAAGAAACTATTATTTAAATAAACAACTTGTAAACTTTTGCTAATGCATGCTTCACATCATACATTTATTTAAAAAAAAAAAAAAAAATTTTAATTTCTTTTAATATCTTTGTATAACTTCAAATTAATTTACTTAATATATATTTTATTAATTATTTATAATTAATCCTGAGGTTTTGTGAATATTGTATAAGCCATTTGTCTTTTCAGTTATCAATTTATAATAATAATAAAATATAAAATTTTATTTATTTATAATTTTTTTCTTCAAATTATTTATTTTTTTTTCATTAAATAAAAAAAAAATTAATAATGATAATGTGACATAAAAACATTTAATTTATCTTTGTTATATTTATAAAAAAATAATAAAATTTTAATATTGTTTTATTTTAAAGATAACAAATTAAAAACGATTCGAAAAAAATTTTTTGCAAAATTATAATAACAATAATTCTTTATGAATTAATAGCTATGAGCATATAAATATATTTATTCATTCATTTTAATAATCTTTATTGTACATTAAAATGTTTTCAAATTATTATTTATTATTCTGTAATGTCACAATGTTTATGTGATTTTTTAAAATATTACTCTTCACCTTTGTTGATCTCTTCATTGTCAGCTTTCTTTAATGTTATTTAAATGAAATAACTTTAGAGCTTCCCATTGTGCTGTTCTTAACAATATGTGTGGCCTTTTACTTTTCATGAAACTAACTGCCTGTTCTGGACTCCATGAATGTTCCTGTTATGAAAAGAACATTTAAAAAAAAATATTTATAACAATTACACATAAAAGCATGTTATATAATCAAAATTAAATTATTTTCACTTGAACTATATTTTAAAAAATCAATTAAAATATTTTTTTTTTTTTTTTATTGGTTTTTACCTTCATCAAATAACATCCGACAAGTGTTGCACTTCTAGTTCTTCCCGCTTTGCAATGCACATACACAGAACCATTTAATTTTTTGTATTTATTTATAAAATTTACACCTTTTAATAATTTTTCTTGACAAGGAGTTTCAAAAATATCTGTCGTACTTAGTTGTAAAAATTCAACACCATATTTATTCCATTCTTTTTCTGAATTTGAAAAAAAAAGCAATTCATAATTTTCATTCATTGAAACCACTCCTTTGATATTTTCGTCATTAAGTAACTAAAATAAAAAAAATTTTTTTTTAAATACCTGATGAAAATAGGTAAATGACCTAGATAACAACTTTAACTTTTTAACTTAAAATTAAATATTTATATTAAATAAAATTTATAGTTATTAATTCATTTATATTAATTTTATTATTTTTATTTTTTTTTTAAATATGTAATTAATTATTTACAATACCTGATTTGTCATTTTCTGGAACGGCAGAGCACCTAAAATAACGGTTTCATCAATCCTATCGTACCATCTTCGATCAGTAAATCTTTCCATAAAAATATTATAAAGTAAAGAAGGATAAAAAGTTACCCTCGCAAACATTTTATGAAACTCCTTCAATTTTAAAATATTCTGTTAAATTATTGCATTTTAAATCATTTATAAAATCTAGTAATAAAAAAGTAGTTTTTTATAACTTAACTTCTATCGTATGACAAAATTCTAACGAGCACCATAGACCCGAAATAAACTTAAACCCGTTATAAAAAGAGAAGGGGAAAGTAAATACTATGGTATTTTCCATTGATTCTTTCCTTTGTTGTTGTCAATGGTATGCTTACCCGAAATTAGAAAAAGCGCCAAGTACTGATGTAAAATTTTATGTCATTTTTTAAGGTTTAATTAAAGAAAAACGAATTTTTGCAAAATGGCTGTAAAATTATCCGAAGGGGCTTTACAGGTAAATAATTACCTATTTTATTTTAAATTTTCACAGGCCAATTATGTATTTTATTAATGAAAACTTGATTAATTTTTTATTTAAATTCTGAATATTTTCTCTTTTAGATTATTATGTCTGGAGGAAATATTGATTCACCTATCATGCAGGTTTTGGTTAGTAAATTTTGGTTGATTATTTTTTATTTACCCCTTGATTTACTATTAGACATTTAATGCTCATTATTATATTAATTGATTTCACGCAATAAGAGCTTTTAGATTCCAAACAGCAAATTATTGCTAAATAGATTACAAATATTTTTTAGGGAAGTAAAAAACTTACTTCTAATAATGCCACAGAAAGATACAGGTTGCTAATATCTGATGGAAAGTACCACAATAGTTTTGCAATGATTGCTACTCAATTAAATGATTTGGTAAGCTCAGGAGAATTATCCGAATTCACAATTGTCAAAATCAAACGTTACATTACTTCATTGTTTAATACATCAGAAAAAGAGAGGTATTGCATATTCAATGTAGTTTCTGTTTCATTTAGGTATAGTTTTAAAAATAATTAACCTAATAAAAATTTTAGGAGGGTAATGGTAATACTGGA